GACGTACCGCCTTTCTGCTAGGGAATTTCTTGCCAATACTAGATCTCGCGTAATCCGAAGCATACATTCAATTTCAACCTCTAGCGCCAGTAAAGTGACTGCATACTTTTGACCGTAGCAAAATCAATGTACTGCGAGAATAAGCACTTCCCAAGTTCACAATTTTTGTAGGTCTAATTCAAGAGGAAAACTCGGGCGTTTTTGTCCGTACCTAAGTGCCGGAAATTGCCTTGTAGCCTTCTCTTTCCAGAGTTTCAGCCAAGGATATATCTCCAGTCTTCACTATCCTGCCATTCTCCTGTAATAAGGAATTGATATATATACAATTTTCAGAATATTAAATCTTCAAACAGCACTTTTGTAGTATTACCCAAGTTTCTTTACTGCAATATGAATTTCTTACCATGATGTGGATATAGGTCGGTTTAATGAATTCCAAAAGGCGTAAATAGTGGGTAATCATCAGAACTGAATTCTTTGGAGTCAAAAGTCCGTTAACCGCTTTTGCTACATCTCGAAGAGCATCTACATCTAAACCGGAATCAATCTCATCTAATATGGCCACTTCTGCACCAAGAACCTGTCATGTGAATAAACTTTTCAGTGTATATTTTTGCCAACACTAGATAAATCAAAATTCCATCGAAAAATAAATATAAAACGGTACTTTTGAGGTGTTAAGAAACTACATAAAATAAGAAGTCCAGATTATATACCGCAAGCTGTAAAATCTCGTTGCGCTTTCTTTCTCCACCGCTGAATCCTTCATTGACATTTCTGTTCAAAAAATCTATCTTCATATTCACAATCTCGAGCTTAGGCGCCACATAACCATAAAACTGCAATAATGAATTTTCATTGTGAGGTTAAAACAGGAACATGACCCTAATGAATACTTCAAATTTTGCAGAACACGATTTTACTCCCCAAAAGCAGAGGAGCGAGGAGAACTCGTCTAATAAAAATTATATGCATTCATCCAATTTATGAAAGCGAAATTAATTACTACAAACGGAAATAAAATATAATTAAAATTCTTTTTGGGTTAAAAAAATCCGAAACAGCTTATTTCATTTTCTATAAAACTGGATCTTAACATAATTTCTCAATTTACCGTCACCCAAACTATTCAATATTCTCCAAAATAAACAAAATAAGTAGAAATAGCACCTCAATTGGCCCCAGCTCGGGCAGTCCGAGTTTTCTCCTTTGAGCATTATAAGCCATATTCAAGAAGTCAATATTGCTAACACCAGGTATTTCAACTGGAGACTGAAAACTCATAAATAAACCAGCGATAGCTCTTTCCTCAGGTTCCATCTCAAGCAGGTCTTGCCCTTTATATGTTACACTACCTCCTGTAATTTCATAATCTGGATGACCGACAAGAACCTAAGACAATAATAAATTTTTAATTAAGAGGCTAAAACAAGATGATTGACTTAATCTCGTAGTTTCACCAAATCATTATTATGCGCATATTATGATTAAAAATTAAAGAAATAAAGAACAAAAGAAGAATGGCTTTGAAGAAAGCAATCTCACAACCAACCAAATTATACGCCTTTGTGAATAAAATATATGTGAGAATGTGACCGTCCCGCAAACTATACGCCTTTGAACCAATTATTTCGAACATCTATTGAAACATCACATACAAGTTCAACCAAGATACAACTTGTAACTTCGGATACTTTAGTTTAAGTGAATCGATTTACTGTTTTCTAAAAACACGACGGAGCATGCATTATGGACCATGAACATAAAAGCATGACAAAAATTATGTAAGCAAGATTTGGTTGGCCGAAGGTTCTTTGGTCTGAAACTTCATTCCTTACGCGAGAACTCATATGCAGGGATTGAAAAGCTCAATTTGGTTCAACTTAATAATCAAACGAGTCAAAAATCGATCTCAAGTTTGCCTCGGAGACTACATTTAGTTGGATAGCTCCATTTACCAAATCCACTGAAAATCAATACATTCAAAACGAAAACTCGACGAAGGAAGTAGGACTGACCTTAGCAAATGTACTCTTCCCAGAACCATTCTTCCCCATCACAGCATGAACCTTCAAAATACAACAATAACATTAGAAGCCAAACACAATGGGCTACTGCTTTTTTTTTTTTTAAATAATTCAACTGTCAGGAAAAATTACATCAATTATTCGCTAATTTTCAATCCCATGCTTTAAACTTGCATCTTGAACATCAGTTACAAAATCGCCTTTAACAATTGAATAAACAGAACGATTAAAGCTGATTTCCTCGAAATTGAATAACAACACAAATTAGCAGGCATTTTGTATTATCCTATCATAACATAATTCTGATGAATTCCATCTATATACTACTACTCATTCCCGATAAAACAATTGGGGGCAAAAAAAAAAAAAAAAAAAAAAAACAGAACGGCAGTGATTATTTGTGAAATTGAGCACGCACCTCGCCTTCGCGGACGGTGAGATTAACGCCTTTCAGAATAGTTTGCTTGGAGTCGGCAATTATGGCGGTTAGGTCTTTGACTTCGAGTAGGAGCTTCGGCGGTCCGACTCTATCGGCGGCGGCGGCGGTGGAGGAAGATGAGACATCGGCAGCTACGGTGGCCCTCGGCGTAAAGGTACGAGGGGAGAGCACAAAACGACGGCGTTGAGGAGTAATTGAGTTGGAAATGTTGAAGGAAAGGGTTGGATTAAAGAGAGCCATCGAAGAAGAGAGCTGGTTGCTTGTGCAATAGAATCAATTTCTGAATTGAGAAGATGAATACACAGCTCGACCCCCCCTCTTGTGCTGCTTCCCTCAAGTTTTTTGCAATTTTAACTAAAGTCGCTATTATAGCAGCTTCTGAAAGAAACAAGGAGCACTGATAATGATTAGACTCCAAAAGCACGATTTTAGATTAAAGAGTATTATTTTGACATAGGGGGTAAATTAATGTTTGTTTTAGAGTGCAATTATGATTTTTTTTTTTTTGGAGAAATGTTTTCCTTTAATGTCAATAATAAACATAGAAAAAATATTTTTTTTGTGACATTAATTTTGAAAAATTACTTTTATTTTACAATAATGTGTTAATTCATTCATATAATTTATCGCCCCGTACAAATTGTTATTGTTTTTCTCCACGTATCTCTTGAAAACTCAAAGTTGGGTAATATTATCGATCTCGAGTCAAATTCAACTTATTTAGAGACTCAAAATTATAAGTTTTATTGCTTTAATATCTATGAATCAACATATCTGATCACTAGTGGAGTCAGAATTTTAAGTTCACGAAGGTTGAATGCATTAAAAATTCTAAAGGACGTTAATAAAAAAAATTGTTGTTTCCATATGCTGACTATGTCACTGCATATGCAGGGCCGGCTCTGGGGTAGGGCGAGCAGGGCCCAGATTTATAAGGGGCCCATATTTAGTTTTTTCTTTATATATATATATATATATATATATATATATATATATATATATATATATATATATATATATATATATATATATATATATATACATACATATATATATGTGTGAACAAAATATTTTTCTATTGTATAAAAATAAAATTATACATCTATATGATATATAAATATATATTTTATGTTTATAAATTTTAAAGCTTAGTTTAAAATATATACAATTTAAAAATCTTTATTTTATTCAAAAAAAAATTATTTCATACATTTCTAACATTTGCTTTATAAAAAAAATATTTAGATATATACTAATATTTCCAATATTTTATTGGTAATAAAATTTAAATTAATAAATATTTATCTATATCATTTTATCAAAAATAAAAAAAAAAAATAAAAAGGAAAAAAAAAAGTCGAGGCGTTGCCCGAGACTCCATATTATTAAGGGCACAAAATATATTCTCGCCCCAGGCCCCCAAATATGTCGGACCGACCCTGTGCATATGATATAAAATGATACAACTAAAATATTTCTATTACAATCAAAATATTCAAACATTTACATGTAGTGGATTATTTTATGTTCCTAACCAAAATATTTGTCTTGAAATATAAATGCGTTTATTAACGTTATTGCCGACTTTTCTTGTAGAGGAAAACCCGACCCAAAAAAAAAAAAGAAAAAAAGGAAAAAGAAAAAGAAAATCCAAATCAGATTCCGTTAAGTTGTACGTTAAATGATTAATAAGAGCAGACAGACAGATTATATCTCCATAATTAGCCATTAATGAAATTTACTCTCAATTATCATCAAAAAATAAATAAATAAAATAAATTTAGTGTCCTTCAAACTCCCTATTTAGCACAGCTGCATTACCGTTGGGGGCTCTGTATTTCAAATTTCCACAAATTCTTTTTTTGTTAATTTCCAATTACAAATATATATTCACCCATTCTTCTTCTTCTATATCATCTATACATATATTAATATACTTTTACAAATTACAAAACACATGCATTCTTGATTCTTGCAGTACACCACCAGCTTCAGGAGCAAAAAAGACTTGATTTTTTTCTCTCTCAAGAAAATCAGCTTGTTTTTCTCTCTCTCTTAATTTGTGAGTAATTTTTTATTAATTTTTTTTTTCTCTGATGTAATTAATTTAATTTCTGGGATTTTGCTGTGAAAAGCCAAAAAAATTGGAGGTGTGTTTGGTGCTTGAGAACGTGGATTAGGGCACCCTTTTTTTCTGGCATAGAATACCAAAGTTGCAGTTCAACTTTTGCTTTTTGCTTTATTTATTTTGAGGTCCCTCTTCTTTTTCTTTTTTATCTTTCTGGTCTGGATTCTTTATTAAAGAACATCATCTCTCACCTTTGATTAGATTTCTAAATGTTTACATTAGTGATATATATAATATAAAAAGCCATGGATTTGGAGTATAATAAAGTGACCTCTGCTTTTCCACTATGTAAAAAGTGAATCAAGAATATTTTACTTTTTTTAACTTTTTTATTTTATTACTTTTTTTTTTTAATTAAAGATTTTTAATTTAGTATGTATAGTTGAATTACTTTCCACCTTTAACAATTTCTTGCACAACTTCTTCATTCACAAGTGATCTACTGTCTTAACTGTACTTGTTTTTCCTGTAATAATCTCTTTCCAATCACTAAAATCATCAAAAGTTGAGCTTCATTTGATTTTCATTTCTTTCTCACTAAGTCAATTATATTACCTTTAAAAAACCGCAAATTCGAGGTAATTATTATCGAAGCATACGGTATATATGTCGATGTATAAATGATTTTTCGAGTTTTTTTCTTGCTAAATACTAACAACATTCTTGTTCATTTTTTCGTTCGCAGGCTTCCCCGTAAAAAGACAATGGAACTCCAGTCTCGAATAGCGGCAGTCACGAGTCTCGTTCTACTTCTCACAATATCTTCCACCGTAAACTCCGATCTCGACTCCGACGCAGAAGCTCTACTCGAATTCGTGGCTAAAGTACCGCACGCTCGAAAACTCAACTGGAATTCAACCAACTCAATATGCAATTCTTGGATAGGCATCACTTGCACAAAGGACAAAACTCGAGTCCACGGTATACATCTCCCCGGTATAGGCCTATTCGGTCCGATCCCATCCAATACCATCGGAAAATTGGACGCTCTCAAAACCCTCAGTCTCCGATCAAACTATCTCAACGGAAATTTCCCTCGCGACATTCTCGAAATTCCGTCACTTCAATCACTATTCCTTCAAAACAATAACTTCTCTGGTGAGCTCCCTCTAACTTCTCTCTCTCCTCGATTAAGCATAATCGATCTTTCCTACAATTCTTTCACCGGTGAGATTCCGTTCGCACTCGAGAACTTGACGAGACTAAGCGTTTTAAACCTCGAGTACAATTCGTTTTCTGGAGCTATACCGAATCTTGATCTTCCGAGGCTTGTAAAATTGAATTTGAGCCATAATTCGTTGAACGGCTCGATTCCTTACACCCTCCGGAAGTTTCCGGATTCTTCGTTCGAAGGAAACGCTCGTTTATGCGGTCCACCTTTGGCTTCGTCTTGCTATGCTTTATCTCCTTCTTCGCCTACACCCGAAAACAGTTCTCAAGGACTAATAAAGGCTTCAAACTCTAGGAAACTTAGTTTACGAGCGATCGTTGCTATAGCTACTGTCGGCGGTTCTCTTACGATTCTTCTATTTTCGGCGATTCTGTTCTTCTGTATCAAGAAGAAGAAGAACAAAGGTGGTGGCAAGACTACATTGATCATAGCCAAGGCATCTAATATCGGAAAAAACGAGAATTTAAAGTCGGCGGATTTCGGAAGCGGAGTACAAGGGTCCGAGAAGAACAAGCTCGCCTTCTTCGACGGGTGTTCGTTGAGCTTCGATTTAGAGGATTTGCTTAGGGCTTCGGCGGAAGTTCTTGGAAAGGGGACCCACGGTACGGCTTACAAGGCCATCTTGGACGAGTCGACCACCGTTGTGGTGAAGCGGTTGAAGGAAGTTGGTTCCGGAAAGAAGGAATTCGAGCAGCAAATGGAGGTCGTAAACGTAATCGGCCGCCACCCAAATGTGGTGCCGCTCCTCGCTTACTATTTCTCCAAGGACGAAAAGCTTCTGGTTTACGAGTACATGCCAGCTGGCAGCTTGTCTTCCGCTTTGCACGGTATTTTTTTTTCTTCTCGGTTCAAATGTAACATCTGCATGCGCGCGCACACACCAACATGGATGTGTGTGTTTTTTTGAGATGTTCATTCAACAGTTTACCGAATCGATTTTGTGATGAATAAACAGGTAACAGGGGAACGGGGAGAACCGCGTTGGATTGGGAGACGAGGCTGAATATAACCCTCGGAGCGGCACGTGGGCTCGCGCACATCCACTCCGACGGCGGGGCGAAACACACGCACGGCAACATCAAATCATCCAACATACTCCTCAACGAATCCCTCGACGCTTGCATCTCCGATTTCGGGCTGAACTCTCTATCGAACACCACAGCGCCGGCCGTGAAGTACAGAGTCGCCGGCTACCGAGCGCCGGAAGTGATCGCGGAATCGCGAGTGAAAGCCTCCGCGACGCAGAAATCGGACGTGTACAGCTTCGGTGTCGTACTGCTCGAAATGCTGACGGGGAAATCTCCGATACAGTATTTGGGGTACGACGAGGTGGTGGTGGATCTGCCGAGGTGGGTGAGATCGGTCGTCCGGGAGGAATGGACGGCTGAGGTATTCGATGTGGAGTTGATGCAGTATCGGAATATCGAAGAGGAGATGGTGCAGTTGCTGCAGATCGGGCTGTCGTGCGTGGCCAAGGCGGCGGATGCGCGGCCGAGCATGGATGAAGTTGTGAGGATGATTGAGGATATTCGAGCCGATAAATATAGGACTTCGTCGGAGGATAACAGGTCAAAAGACTCTACTGCCCCTACTCCATGATTTGATTCATTGGTTGATTCAATTCAAACTATATAAATAGGTATTATTCTTGATTTCAGTATTTGTTTTTTTTAAGAAGTGTAATTTAAAGATTAATAAGAGGCATGTTTGGAACCTGGGATATCATTATCATCATAATTATATGTTTCTAATACCTAAATACAGTTAAACCTCGATAAATTTAATACATTCGGAAGTCGGGACGAGCAAAATTCTATTAATTTAGCGAAATACTAAATTATCGAACTAATAATTTAGTATGTTTACACCGAATCGCAACCGGAAGAAATTATTATTTAAGCAAGGTTATTAATTTATCGAGGTTCTACCGTAAAGAAATACACACCTCATCTCTAATTTATCACACACAAATGGACACACAGTAGCGGTGTGGTCAATTGACCTGCAGAAAACTGGCAGCAGGCTTAACATAACTGAAACCTTTAAAAGGATTTTCGACAGATTTGGGACTCGAGGCAGGTGAGTCCAGCAGGGGCATTTTAGTCCAACGCTCGTCAAAGTTGGCAATGCAGAGCTTTCCTTCTACTTGAGGAAGGAAGTTCGGCTTAATTTCACGAGCCTCCAATTTCTTCCAGTCGATTGATTTGAACCACTTGTGCCCTTTTATCTCTTCACTTCCCAACCGCCTGTTCGCCTCCTTCTGAAGCAGCTGCACAAGTACAGATATTTTCATCAGTCATTTTAATTTCATTATTTAAAATAAAAATCATATAAAAATAAGAGGTGAATGGGAATAAAATATATTACCCCTTTAATTAGAGAATGGGCGTCACTAGACAAGAATCCCGGCAGCTTCATTTTGTCTTTCAGTATCTTCTGTTGGATTTTGTGTCGATTCCCACCAACAAATGGCGGCTGCAAATGCACAATCACGAATTATTGTTAATTTTATTTTTTTTGTAAGAACAAAAATAATTCTTTCCTAATATTTTTACAGCCGAAAAACTAACCTTGCCGGTCAACATTTCGTACAAGAGAATCCCCACGCTCCACCAGTCTGCTGCCTTGTTATGACCTTTTCCGAGAATAATTTCAGGTGCCATATACTCCAATGTTCCACACATCGAATTGGATCTCGTTTCCTCGTCAAATTGCTTTGCCAGACCAAAATCAGTTAACATTGCCTGAAATAATCAATACACGCAAGATGTCAATTGAAAAACGGTAAAGATTGAAACAGCAATGTGCTGAAATTTGTGGAAAAAGCCGTAGAAATAAAGAATCGTACATGGCCCTCAGCATCGAGCAGAATATTCTCCGGTTTAAGATCCCTATGCATTATTCCATGTTCGTGTAGATGACATACAGCAGAAACAATCTCAGCTGCATAGATCCGCCCCAAATCCTCTCTGAATAACCATAAAAAAACCAACATGTAAGATACATAAATAATTCATCATCAAATAATCTTAATCCTTAATAATTATAAAATTCATAATACCTGAACAGTCCTTGATGATAGAGTTGAAAGAAAAGGTGACCCCCATTAACAAAATCAAGCACAAGATACAATCTATATTTCGTCTGCACCACGGAAACAATAAAATAATCAGGAGCTACAACTTCGACAGTGAAAATTGAAATATATTTTCAAACTCGAGAAATAATAAAAAGGGTGCAAATTAAGAATATATACCTGGAAGGAGTATCTGAGTTGCACAATGTAAGGATGGTCAATCCTGGTCAAAATATCCCTCTCCGCTTTCATATACTCCGCATGATTTTTCTCCACGATCTTATCTTTTCTCATAACCTTCATAGCAAAAATCTCCGACGAACCAATCTTCCTCACTTGGTACACTTTCCCAAAGGCCCCTTGCCCCACAAGTTTCAATAATTCAAAGTCATCAAGCCCTACTACTGGCTTCTCCTCCTCTTCCTCCTTCTCCTCCAAATCGATATTCTCGATCGAATATTCTGAAAGATTCTCCAACGAGTCTTCTCTTTCAAACAATGTGAGTTTGCTGAGCTTCGATAGTTGCTGGTTCACACAAGTTGTGGGACCAAGAAAGGAATGCGAACGGCTGTGGATGACAGCTGGCTCGTCGTAGGCTAATTCACTCGCATCGGTGGGGCCCGCAGAATCGAGAGCTGGCACAGGGCCGAATAAGTCCGCGAAATCCAAGTCGACGATTTCAAACGGAATGGCTTCAGGGGCTTGTACAGGCTTTTTCAGCAAGTTGGTCGAAGAAAATTGAGAGGAAACCATGATTTTGTTTTCTTATTTTTCCCCGGAAAAATGAAACGGCAAATTGCGGAATGACTTTTTTGCCCTGGGAGTCTAAATCAGGACCGATGATGAAGGACACCTGGCAATAGCCTTGAACAGAAGGAAGTTGACAAATGAAACGGGGCTTCCAAGGAATCGTGGGAAGAAGCAGCACAGAATCAAAACAATGTTGTTGTTTCCTTTTTGACAGGAAACGGTCGATGCAGCAGCACTTTTTGAATTCATGAAGATCTGGCAATTTGACTGCAATACAGTGACGAAAATATTGTAAGTATGATCACAAATTGAGAATAGTAAGATTGTGTAATAAGGAAATAATCGGACATAAAAAAAAATTGTGGATAATGGAACCATTAAATTGACACTCATGGATTGAATTAGAGAAAATCATATAGTCGTGAGCAATACTTCGTTGTTTGCACAAATTATAAAAAAATAATACATACAAGTAAACGAGTAATTAAAGAAGTTAACGGATGAAGAAAAAGATTAAAGATTTGTATCCATAAAGTAACTATGCTAATATCTACAACATTGTTTTTTTAATTATGTTCAATAATCACGGAAAATATAATACATTAGATTTTCTAATATAGCCAGATTAAATCTTTACACTACAATAACACTTTATCATAACTAATGGGGGCACTTGAATTCGGATCTCCAGGCTATAGTTTCAATCTATAACTGCAAAATTTGACACTTCCCCTAATTTAAAACGAAAACTAAAATGAAGACGCCAATGAGAGACGACCATAAATTTCCTTCCCATGGAAAATATTTGGGTAAAATACGGAGGTATTCATAAGCAATTTCGATATTCGCAGAGAGGTAAATCATGAAAGACTACTATTAGGCTATTAGCTTAAACCAAAGAAGAAAGATTTTTTTTTGGGGATCAAATTATGAGAAATAATCTATACACACAAAACCGCAATTAGACTAAACACATCCGAAAATAGTTAAAATCATTGAAATTCCTACCATAAACATGAATCATAAAAATCAGGGAAAATTAAAAACAAATCCAATCAGAAATTCGTTCCACCGAAAAAACTGCAAATCGAGAAAACAGACGAGCAAAAAACCTAGAATTCTAGAACGGACAAAGATCAATCAGCACCAACAAAAAAATATATATACGAAGCGATGCAAAGTAAGATCGGAAGAACGCAATACGAAACACCAAAAAAAATATCCATAAAAATCGGCAAAAGAGAAACAAAACATACATTAATGATGATTAACAAGAACTAGTAAACAAGGATTAAGTGAAATTAATGAGATTTTACCTTGAGGAAAATTGGAGATGACAGAGAGGCGGAGCGGAGGAGAAAAACTAATTGGAAAAAACGAGGGGAAAAAGTGAGAGAAAACGAGGACGGGTGGCCACTTTATATATTTATTTACGGTAAATTACAATCAACCCCTGAGGTATGGTCAAATTACAAAAAACCCCTTATGTTTGAATAATTACAACCACCCCTCAACATTAATTTTTTTTACACGTCCACTCTTGCGGTTTCAAATTTAGTGAAATTTTCGATATTATATGGATTATTATCATTTGTTTACCCATTTTATCCTATTTGAACTCCATATTTTGAAGAAAGATGATCATAATATGTGTTTTTAAGTTTGATTGCGATGCATCATAAACTGTATTTTTACACAAATAAGTATAATCTAGAACGCATTTCACAAAATCTAGATGATTATTATGAATTTGACACCATAATGGTGGAGGTGTAAGAAAAAAATTATAGTTTTGAAGAGTAGATGTAATTATCCAAACAATAGGGGTTTTTTCGTAAAGTGATCATACCTCAGGGGTTGATTGTAATTTACCCATATATTTATGTGACAAATCGAAGAAGAATGCGAAATAACTGAATAATAATAATCGGGTGAGAAGTTTTTGGTTGCGTTTGGGAGTGGGTCGTTTACGTGGCGTGTTGTGATTGGACAAGGATGTTTTCCAGCCAATATTGAAGTCAGAGAAGGATGGGCTGTGTTTTGGACTTTTTTTTGGAGTAATCCTAAATTCCTTTCTCAACTAGGATGGAAAACGCTTCTATCTTATTTTTCGGATCCTTTCAACTTCATGCCTAATATTCAATTGTGTATGTAACTAATTATACACGTTTTATATGAAAGAAAGAAAGAAGAATTAAATATATGATAATTAAATTGTATTAGAAAAGAAAATTATATATTATTAAAATAATTAGTTGTGAAATTTAAAACAATTAAAAAAAAAAAAAAAAAAGAGAGAAAATTAGAGAAAACCCCCATCTAGGAAATATAACCCCTTTAAAAAATAATTTGAGAAAACCCCCTTAGCTAATATTTCACCAAAGTGATACTTTCATAATTCAAAAACTACCATAAGTTGTCTATTATACTTTTTTAAAACCATAATCTTATTTTTGATATCTCATTCTGCTTTAGCTTTTCTCTCTTCTCTGTTTTTTCTACTTTTTTTTTTCTCTGTTTTCTCCGGCAATCTTCTCCCAGCCGTTGTCGCCGCCGCCTGAAGATGGAGAAAGAAAGAAGAGGAAGCCCTCGTCGTCGGCGTGTGGAGGAGAAGCACTCTTCTTTCTCAACGGCCTGCTCCACCCCATCGGCGTGTGGAGGAAGAAGAAGAGGAACATACTGTTGATGAGAAAGAAGAGAAAGCACTCGTCGGAGGAGGAGAATCAACGGAAATTGTTGATGAAGGTATTTGTTTTTTTGTATTTTTACTTTTATTATTTTTTTAGTGTTGGTTTGTCATGTGCTCAGAAATTGTTTATGGAGTGACCAACAATGGTTGACAAATACCTTTGAATCATTCATGTTTTCTTTTTTTTTTTCTTTTTTTTTGGACATTGAAATGCTAATTTGTGTTTTTTTGTATGAGTGATTTATTTTATTCTTGTTAGGGATTGGTTGAATAGTGTGGTGCGGCGGTGTGGTGACGATGGGGAGGCAGATTTAGGGTTTTTTGGTGGATCGGGCGGAGGACGGCGCGTGTAGAGAAATTCTCACAGACTGGAATCTTAATCGACTATGTACATGTTCAATAGTCGATTAAGCTAATCGACTACGCTCTGGTAGTCGATTAAGGTTGATCGACTCCAAAAAAAAATTTGGATTTTTTGTTTATTGATTCCAATTGTATAAGTCAATTATAATGTTTGTACACTTTTTTCTTTTTTTTTTGTAAATTATAGCTCATTTTGCATTTTTTTGGCAGTTGTGATTTGTTATTTTTAGTAGCAGATTCTTAATCGACTATGTTTTATCATAATCGATTAATATACCTGATATAGAAAAAATATAAAAATAAATAAAAATTAAAGAATTTCCTTAATTGACTATGCTTCATAGTCGATTAATAAAACTGATACAGAAAAGAGAAGAAAAAAAAATCGCTTATAACCAGCGCGTGACGCAGTGATGATGTGGCGGGCGGGGGCAAAACTGGAAAATATAATAACTAAAAATAGGTGTCGACTTTTCCCAAATAGAACAAAATATTTTGGGTCTCTCCCCGTTAAAAGAAGTAGTGGGGTATTATTTCTCTAAGAGCCCCTAAAAAAATCTAAATTGGTGTGTCATGTGTGTGTAATCTATAGAGATTTTGTTTTACTTTTTCGATAGATAAAAAAAATATATATATACATCAGTGTGTGTTAAAAAGAGAGATTTAAATAGAAATTATATAAAAAAAGAAAAAAAAAAGGGTGAATTACAACAACTCCATGTATGGTTAAATTATGAAAAAACCCCTCATATTTATTATATGAAATATTATCACTTTTGTATCCGTTTCTCATTCGAACGTCGCATTTGGAAGTAAGATGATTATAATATGTGTTTTTTTGCTTTTATATATCAAATTGTTGGTGCATCATAAACTGTATTTGTACATGAAACGAGTACAAACGAGAGCACATTCCACGAAATCTAGATGATTATGTCGAATTTGACACCATAAGGGTGGGGGTGTCAGAAGTTAAGGGGGTAGATTATCGAAACAATAGCGGTTTTTCGTAAATTGGCCATACTTCAGGGGTGGTTGTAATTTACTCGGGAGAAAAAGACTAACCGAGGGGATTAGGCTTTTGCTAGGCAATTTGCAAATTTGATTTGCTAAGAAAGTAAAAAAAAAAAAAATAAATAAAATAATAACAATTAATTTCAAAAAATTTACAAATATGACCATGGGCTCCTTAGGTTGGCCTAACATTTTTTTTCTTCTTCTTTTATATTGACTAGTAATTGTACCCGTGCGATGTACGGGACAACAAATTGCATTCTTTTGATGTTGTAAGAATATAAACAAACGTTTGATGTATCGTATGATCGAAATTCTATTATACTGGAACATTATTAAGTATACTACACACACAAAAAAAAAGGACATAACTTTACTGTTGAATAATTTTCCAAATGAATTGAATCAGCTAATACCAGTAGATTGAAAATTTGAACCAGGAAAAAAATCATCAATTATGTCTTCCATGTTGAGCTTAAAAGTAATTAGATTTAATAACTAAGTTAACATAATCAAAACTAAACTATCGACAACATACCATCGTAAAAGGCCATCTATACATCTTGCATCGGAACTAAGCCCTTCTCCACTGCCTCATTTTAAGGTTGTTTTGCCACTGGAATTAACAATTGGAAAATTAAGAAACAAAAATAAATATAAACAATAAATTAAATATCGCATACAAACAATAAGTCTTGAAGGTCGACTTCCAATAGCTTGTGGCTCCGCCCATTTTTGGTTAATTTTCTCAAATCATACCTTTCAATAACATGTCCAATAACATATAAAATGAAATAATTGTTATACATAAAATTTGAAAACTTTGGTATAAATTAATGAAACACATAATTTAACAAAATGAAATTACCTATAAGCCATGATGGAAAAAGATGTAAACTAATTGCCACACATGCAATAGGATGAAGAAGAAGATAAGAAACAAAATCTAAAGTCGGGTTACCAAAAGAAGAAGCCTTAGGTAGGGAAGAAATAAAATTCAAATGTTGCAGACATTCTGTAAAACGATGTCACAAAATCCGCTAGGGATGAAAATCAGATTTATTTACCCTTTTCTGTAAAAATCGAAAATCAGATTATTATAAATAATATTTAGGAGAATTTGATGAAATCGATAATAATATTTAAAATAATATTTCGGAGATAAAAATTTGATAAAAAAATCAAAAAATAATATTTAGGAGATAAAAATCAAAAATAAAATTTAAAATAATAGTTAGGAGATAAAACTTTGATAAAAAATCGAAAATAATATTTCAAATAACGTTAATGAGATAAAAGTTGATAAAATATGAAAATAATAATTAGAATAATATTTAGGAGATAAAATATGATTAAAATCAAAATTATTATTTAAAATAATATTTAGGAGATAAAAATTTGATAAAAATCGAAAATAATATTTAGGAGACAATAATCTGATAAAAAACGAAAATAATATTTAGGAGATAAAAAACTAATAAAAACATGATAAAACTCGAAAAAAATATTTAAAATATTATTTAGGAGATATAAATTTGATAAAATTCGAAAATAATATTTAGGAGATAAAAATCTGCTAAAAGTTGAAAATTATATTTAAAATTATAGTTAGGACTTAGGAGATATAAATTTGATAAAATTAAAAAAATATTATTTATAATAATATTTAGGAGATAAAAATTTGATAAAAATAAAAAAAAATATTTAGGAGACAAAAATCTGATAAAAATAAAAAATAATATTTAGGGGATACAAATATGATAAAATTCAAAAATAATATTTAAAATAATATTAAGGAGATAAAATTTTGATAAAAATTGAAAAAAAATTACAAATATGACATTAGGGTTTCTTAGGGTTGCCCTAGCGTTTCTTTCTTTTATATATAAAATTTATAAATATGCCATTATAATTAATTAGATTGTCCTGGTGTTTCTTTCTTTTATATATACTAGTGTTTCTTTCTTTTCACAAATATGAGGCGATAAATTGTTGAGGCAATCTAGCACCATAAGCTGAAATTACATTTGCTGCCACAAAAAAATTTATTTTGGACTAATATGTGTACTTCGAACAAACTTATTTTGTCTATTTCAAAACATTGTAATAGTTTTAACCTTTAGGAACACAAACTATATTGCTACATTTTTGCCTATATTTTATGATCACTTACTTTTGCATCTACAACAATATTTCAATCTAAATTATAGTAAAAAGAAAAAAAACTGGTAAAAGATGTAAATATTCACATAGAAGGTAAGTAAAAATACATGCATGGCAACTGTATTTACAAGTTATTATATATTACTATATATATATATGGGTGTTGCTATTTGCAGCGGGTCTTTTACTGAAATTGGCTTATTTGCAGCTGAACCTTTTTCATTATTTTTTTTTTTGAAATTCTCTCTCCTATTCCCAAACTCTCTCAAGACATTCGAATTTCGGAAATTTTTCGACTTTGAATCCGTAGCAAACGAGGATCGATTCCGGTAAATTTTCAATATCCGTGCTCTGTAGAACGGATACTTCAAGTTTTCGTGCTCCGTGGAACGGAAAACTCAAAAAACTTTTTAATTTTTTATTTTCGAAAAAAAAAATTAAAATATGAATCCCCCGTGCTGAAGAACACGGGAGCTTAAATAATCTTCAAGTTCCCGTGCTCTGCAGAACGGAGGACTCAAAAAACATGAAGTTCCCGTTCTGCAGAACACGAGAACTTGAAGATTATTCAAGTTCTCAAGTTCCCGTGTTCTGCAGAACGAAAACTTCATGTTTTAATTATTTTTTTTAGTTTTTCTATTTTTTTTTAAATATCGAATTTTGTAATTATTTGATGAACACGATAACACATATTCGGATTATTGTACTCGTTTGTATATTCATCGTCAATTTTTTTTGTCAAAATCACCATCATCACCCTACCAAATAATATTAAAGGAATAAAGTAAAAAAAAAAAAAAAAAAAAAAAGTAAAACCCGTACTCCCATCCCCTAAAGGACGGGAACTTCAATTTTTTTTCCCTTTTTCCATGCCCTACGTGCTGCACCGCACGATCTAGCTTTTTTTTCTTTTTTTCTTTTTTTTTTTCTTTTTTTTTTCTTTGTAAAAGTAATATGGATTGGCCATAAAAAAAATGTTGTGTTTGGTTTTGAATTTGTCGAACGATCTTTACATTCTAAGTTTTCGACTTTTTTAGTTGAGAGCGTTTCGATTTTTTAGAAAGTTAGAAAATTGACAAATGAGACTACCGCTGCAAATAAGCCAATTTCAGTAAAAGTCCCACTACAATTAGCAATCCAATATATGTATAGTAACATATAGTAATATACTCGAAACAACATTCCCACTCACGGACATAAGCAAATTCAAAAAAATAAAAAGAAAAAAAAAACAAATTAATTGTTGGGGACCAACATTCGCACGTGCTCTGTATTGAAGCGTTCAATGGAACCTTTCAAATCACCGCCAATTAACATATTTCATGCAAAACTCTTCCATAATACTATAAATACTGTATGTTACTGCACATAACTACTGCATAAATATTCTGAATACTAAGAAAAATCAAAACTTTAAACAACTAAACACAATCACAGCACAAATTAAACTGAAGAAATTCAAAGTTGTTACCAACCAAAACTAGGGTAAAATTCAAAATCATCCCTGAGGTTTGCTCTCAACTTCAAATTCATCCCTGAGGTTCTATTCAGCGTCAATTTCATCCTTTGCACCCTCATTTAACCACCAAATTTGAAGGAAAAACAAGAAATACCAAGACTGCCCCCAACAAATAGTGAACTTTGGTGGAAAAATATAATTGTTTGAAAAACTAGTTGCTGGAAAAAATAGTTGGAGCAAATTTTAGTTTTTATAAATGTGAACACAAACATAAAATATTATGCACTCACCCAAATACGGAATCATGAATTATTTATTTCGGGCTGAGATTTAAAATGATGAACTAAATATTTATGGGGTTTGGGGCAGTCTTTTTTAAAGATTGCCACACAAAATACCATAAATAATAAATATTTATTAACACTAATCAAAATAGTATATGAAACATAAATATTAAAAAATGATTATTGAAACTCCTTTAGTTATGTTATTGATTATGCAATTTATGTGAACTATGTAAGATGAACTGGTTGAATGTGTATAATTTGAAGATGAACCAGATTTTTTTTTAAATAGAAAGAGGCCTCGTTAAAACCTTGTTTTACCATTTATTTTAATAGTAGAATGATAAAGTGTAGTGATCAAATTTATATAATGAAAAAAAAAATATTTAATTTCAATAAGAGTTCATGTTAAAAAATTCAAATCATAAATAATCTTTGAAGAGAAAAATAATAAATATTTTTTTTCTTTTGAGAAGATGGAGCCAAATAGTTAGTTTAAGGGATAAAGGGCAGTTTGGGGATTTCTGAAAATTTCCTTCACATTTGGCGGCTAAAAAGATTTGGAGGATGAAATTGAAGTTCCATAGAACCCCAGGGATGAATTTGAAGTTGAGTGCAAACCTCAGGGATGATTTTGAATTTTACCCACCAAAACTATTATTACGGAAGCAAGATTATTAATTAATCGAGCAGTTAATCTTGATTTATTTCCAATAATATCCACCACTTGCTCGTCTCGACTTTATTCGATGTGACAATACAACATTTTATATAGCACACGAAAAATATATTCCTAAATCTAATTAACATCCAAAAGAAACTGCAGCCTTCACTAACAAACCAAACAGGGAAAATGGGGCAGAGAAAAAAGGGCTGTGGTCGCTTTCCAAAACATAAACATCTGACGGCGGCCAATTCTTGATCATCGCCTCTTGTTGATCCGGTTTGATAACGTTGTCGTTCGTTGTTTTGATGTATATTCTTGGCACGTCGTCTACATCTTCGCCCTCTCCAAATTGAGCTGTTGTTAATGCTTGTATCGGGCCCGGCCTTAGCAGCATTGCTGCTAAAGTCGAGTCCTGGACGAATTAAAATGTTACACATGTCATTTTTTTTACCGACGAATATTAAATCATCACATGTAAATTATCTTGCTATAGAACTATACATTGATTGATAAGAAGAAAAAAAATAATGGTTTTATACAAAATTATTATCGACTTTTATGTGTCAAATCAGTATCGATGTTACGGGTTGGTTGTAAGTATTATCGACCAATTAATTTACTTAAAACAATAAAATAATATTAATCATTTTTTTCTTTCAAAAAAGCATCATTTACAACAATACTACACGAAAATAAAGGGAAAAAAAAAAAGCAATTGTACATAAATCATTTAAAAATAAATAGTTGGTATGCAGGATAATTTGGGTCGGTTGACGGTTGATTATTGATAATAAAAATATGTTTGAATACCCATCATCACCTCTTTATATTAAGTATTAACATGCAATAATTAATTATTGTATATATTAATTAATTTAATTTAAGAGGTAAATAAGAGAGTACTTGCCTCTTGAGGTGACAATTGATAAATGATCTTTCGTTGTAATTCCTTTTTAATCATCATTGAAGTTGGAGGATTATCTTCTCCCAATCCGAACCCAATATCATACACCTCATTCAATTCTCCATATTCGGATAAATCTGGCACACCCTGTTGAACAATATACGAAGAAAAAAAACGAGGGTAAATTACAACCGCCCTCTTGAGATAAGGTCTATTACGAAAATCCCCTCATTTTTTCTATAATTACGTAAATCCCTTGTGATATGTAGATTTCTTACATTATGAGGGTAGATGTAAGAAATTACAAATTGCAGGGGGTGTATGTATTTTTTCAAAAAGAAGGGTTATTTTGTGATTTCAAAAAAAAACCCCTTATTTTTCTACAATTACATCCACTCTTGCAACACGTAGATTTCTTCCATTAACACCATTTAGTATGAGAGTGGATGTGAGAAATTTACAAATTGAAGAGTTTTCAAAAAGAACGGTTATTTTGTAATTTCGAAAAAAAAATCCCTTATTTTGCTATAATTACATCCACCCCTTGCACTATGTAAATTTCTTCCATTAACACTCTTTACTATGAAGGTGAATGTAAGAAATTCACAAATTACAGGGATGGATGTAATTTCTCAAAAAAAGAAGGGCTATTTTTGTAATTACAATTCCAATTGAGATATAAAAAGAATCAAATAACATGTGCATTGTCTGAAAAATGAAAAGATGTGGTTGGGAGATAAGGAGATAATAGACAAAGGAGGGGCCTGAAATTGATGCCAGTTGTAATCAATTACTTGGGTACCATCCAATGTTGTTTGCGTCACCATGACGTGGAATATGATTCCACAACTTCCCAACTTTGACAATAATTCCAATTCCCTCTTTCCTCAATTCAAGAATAATTAATATATACCTATTTGTATTCTTTATTCTTATTGGACAACCTTATCTTCTTCGGCTTATGAGATCATACCTCTCGTGAAATACAATATGCGGTTTTAACTTATAGATCTATATAATAATTATCCACTCTGCACTCGTACATATATGTGTTGTCACCGAATTATTGGTCTATGTAAAACTCGTTGACTTGATTATTGGTCAATATGATTAACCGCGAGTTGGATCCGACTCTAATCTAATCACATGAATAATTACATTTTAGAGACAATATATTATAAATTGCCATAGTTAAATTAAATATTAATATGGCTATCTTGTATATGTATTGTATGTGTGTCACATGTTAGAAAACACAATTCCAAAGTACAAAATTCACAAATAGATTGTAAAAACAAACCATTATTCTGATAAAATTATAATATCAATTAAATATGGTTTATGAGATGCTGCATCTAGTGAAAAGCACAGGGTAATTTTGCACTATAGATCTATACAATTACATATAACTACAGACTAAGAACACATACAAATGAGTGTGTGTATTATTATGTGTAGATCAACCATGCTGAACTGCTCGATTTAATATTTCACCGGATTTAGTATGTACAATAAAACCCTTAAAAAGGTGGAGTAGTACAAAAATAATCTTATAATCAATGTGTAGTGACTTAATTTGGAACTTCTATACCAATATAGCATTTAAGAAGAAACAAAAATTTGATTAATGCATGGCACATATATATGCGAGTTGTGACATTTATATATCTAGTACCTATCGAAACGCAATAATTACGATTTATTGCATGCCATTGTATTCATATATGGTGTATGGATGGATCGAGTTAACAAAAAATTAAATTAAAACAAATTAATTAAAAAAGAAAAATGAAAGTATGAAATTACTTACATGTTTGATATCTTGGTGAGTGATGAACCCTGATTTCAACATAGTGGCTGCAATAAAAACAGCAAGCTTAATCTTCTTCTTCCCAAACTTGTTCATAGCGTCACTTACACTTAGCCCTCCTGCACTATGCCCTACCAATATCACCTGCCCATACATATTTTTATTTATATATATATATATATATATATATATATATATATATCATTTAAAAAAAAGAAAAAGAAAAAGAGTTTAATTTATGATGGATATATATATAGATATATATATACCTGGTGATCGTGATTTAAGGAAGAGAGAAAGTGAATAAGAGGGGTGTTGTAATCATGGAAAGAAAGAACGGAGTTTGGGTCAGTTTGGTCAACGCCGGCTCCTTTGAGATCGAGGCATGTGACTTTGTACCCACTGTTCTCCATCAGGCTCCTCATTTTGTACCAGCACCATGCTCCTCCACTTATCCCGTGTATCAGCACGAAGTGCGGTGGCGGCGCCGCCGGCGGAGACGGCGGATGTGGTGGTGCTGCTGTGTTCACATTATTATTATTCAAGCCCTCCTCTTTCATATCCACCCCTGTTATTGCTGACTCCTCTCCCATTATTAGCTTTATTAACTCTCTCTCTCTCTCTCTCTCTCTCTCTCTCTCTCTCTCTCTCTATTATGATCACCAACCTTTAAACTTTAGCTTCACTTGTTTTGGTGTGTTTGCGACTGTTTGTAGGCACACACAAACAGGGACATATATATACATACAGACATATACACATACACACATATATATATATATACATATATTATATGTATTGATGTGATGTCCTTATAGTTGATTTAGTCCTGATATGTGATTATACCGTTTTTGACATCTTGTAAATTATACACTATAATAATATTAATGGAGGCCTCAAGCAAAAATTAAAATCAATTGATTTTGCAATTCGAATACTATTTACTTTGGTTCAATATTCAATTTTTTTTTAATAATGTTCATTGGTAATTAGCGGTGACGACGTCATTTATAATTTTGAATCCTTAGCATACCCACAACGAGATCTTGATTCTCTATTTAGTGCCTCGAGCGTTTTACGGCTACGTCACTTTTTACGTGTTATCGACGCTTCAAAGTTTAAGTATGTTATTCTTTGAATTCGATATTGGAATGTTGTTAGTAGTTCGTACCTAATTTTCTTTTTGAAGTAACAGTTAAATAGTAAACATAAGTTTCAAAATTTATTTCATCTTAATCTTTGTACATTTAATAATAGGTCATAGTTTATATTGTTAACTCAAGTTCAATTTATCACTCAAGTTGCTGTGGTGTAGTGGTTATCACGTTAGTCTTACACACTAAAGGTCTCCAGTTCGATCCTGGGCAGCAACATTAATAGGTAGATATTTTTTTTCACATTTTATTTTCCACAGATAGTCACTACGAAAAATTATTTTTCGGCCAATAAATAAGGTGTTTGCAAAATCAACTTTTGCTTTTGCTTCTCTTAAAATAATCTGCTTTAAGCTATTTTTTTTTAAAAGCACTCCTAACCCTGCTTTTTCAATTTTAGTTCATTTTCCGAAATATTTGCAAACACCCCTAACTTTTAGAAATAAGCACTTAAAACTAACTTAAATCACAATCACTAACTTTTGCTTTTAAATAATCATTTGCAAACACCACCATAATATGTTTCGTAATTGCTTTGATAATTAAACTAAAATTAGGCTTAATTGCACTTTGCACCCTTGAAATTTAACATTTTAGTACTTTTCACGCTTGAAAAAAATAATAGCACTTTTCACCCACGAAACACAATAAATCATGCATAGTGCACCATCAATGAATTTTGTTTTTATATATAGATAATTAAGGTGAGTTAATATTTTTAGTGCTACTTCATTAAGGTGCCAAATGTCAAATTAAAATTTTTATATCTCAATCTTTTCGAAACTATAAAGTGCAAAAATAAAAATACATCTCATCAACAAATTTAAAAATTCTATTTCTTTTATCACAAAACATATTCTACAAAAATGAAAAGTGAAAAAACACGTCAGCTATTTCGTTATCAAGTTAACTGAAAATTATATTTTCTTCCAAAGATTTCTACCATATATTTCATTTTCATTTATCCACACACTAATACGATCGAATGTGGGTTTGATTTATGCTTTAATTCAAGAATATATTACATCGATTATTATCTCACCGTATATTTGCTCACAGTTACATACACATACATGTCGATGTTTGTAAAATATATACACACACACACGTATGTGTGTGAACTTCACCGAGTATAACATAAGATAAAACACGAGTGTGTATATTTATTTAATGGGAATTAATAATAAACTCTATTTAATGTATTTTATTTGATGTCTAATGTGATTAATCCAAAAACTGCAGGCCGACAAAACTACGTATTTTAGTGGGATTATTTAAAAGATAATTGTCCATTGGTTCACTGAGAAGCTGGCCATCCATCCATATCCAGCTGTTTCCATTACAACCAAAATACTTTGTATATTTCACTGCAGAGTCAATTATCTTAAATTAATATATAATCTTTTTTTGGTTTAAATAAAATAATAAATTCTTTGAACCATAATGCTTGTTTTATGCGAAAGAAATATTCCTTGCCGTTCATTGATTTTGACTCTTCGTATTGTGTTTCATTTTCTGAAACATATAAAATTGACATACAAAAATATATATATATATATATATATATATATATATATATATATTTCGAATATCATTATCCTAAGAAGTCTGCATACGTGAAGGAAAAGTATTATTAATTATATTGTTCTGAGATTATATTTCAATTTATATTCTATTAATTCCAGTTATAAAATTTGCTAAATTTAAAAATAATTTATTCTCTTTTTTAAATTATTTGGAATCTGCAAAATGATTGATTTCCTCGGAAATTGAGCTCTCATTCTTTTCACTACTTTTTTGGGTTAAAATTTTCTGTTTTCTGTGAAAAGGAAAAGTTGTCGTCCTTCAATTATTATAAAAGCATGCAACAAATTCAGCAATTTCACTCTTACCATACACATTTTTCAATATACAAATTTGCCAATTTTTTGATATATTAATATTAAATGATACATTTTACGTGCAAAATATTAGTCATAACTTTTGCAATGGGTTGGAATTTGGAATTGCTAGTTCGACGAATAATTAAAATTAAATGGTTAATGCGTATTTGAGATGGTTAAGACCTCGTTTGTTTGCTACTATTAGATTAGATTGACTAAATAGTATAAATTATTAAGATGCTTGTTGGTAGAATTTAACATTATTCAAATTCACTACTAAAGTTGAAACCTGCAATTTAAGTACTACTACGTTGTGAAATTAGTAGTACTCCTCCCTTCGATTAATTTTGTAGCGATGACTAAAACGAAAAATTACGATTTTATCCTTAAAACAATAACTTAATTTTATTAAATAAAAGACTATACAGGCAATCCTGATATAGCATAATCTAACAAATTTAATAAGGGTGCAAATTTAGACCGGATTGTCTGTTTTAATAGAAAAATCGGATGCCATGGAATGATTGACACGTGGATAGTTTAAATAAAAATATAATTAGGATTTTAATAATTTGGGAAAAAAAGGAAAAGGAAAAAAGAAAACCTCAGCAGAACCCATAACCCCACTAACCCTAATTATAGTCAGCGTGATTTATTAAGAGTTAAGACTTAATTAAGAGTGCCACATGTCAAAAAATTAGTGGAATCCGATTTATATTGAGTATCGGCTGATCCGCTCAGAATTTAATCTCATTTAATAAACATGCAATCTAAAGAATCAAATATATTACTCCCTCCTTCCATCAATAGATGTCACTTTTGTTAGTTGCACACATATTAAGAAACTCAATAAATATGCATAGATAGTAGCAAAAAAATATAGTAAATCACTAAAATGCCAATGCCATTAATTATTTTTTAAATAATCATATTTCAATTAATTACGAGTGAGAAAGGGCAAAATTGAAAGATTGCAATTAATTATTCATTGGAATAGTAAAATAACAAATAATTTGAAATATAAAAAAATGGCAAAAGTGACAAATATTAAGGGAATGAAGGAGTATTAACTAACTAATTAGTTAACTAGCAGGGGAAGTAATTCAATCAGATCTAATTCGATCTAATCTGATATAGATAGGCACACGTAAATTTTATAGAGGATGTAAAACTAAAGTTTAGTTGGCTTGTCATTTAGTTCAAATTAATTTTATCATCAATGACCTATATCATAAGACCCCTATTTAAATAGAGATCAAATATATATATATATTTGCTACAAAAATTTGATCCGAGAAAGCAACTCAAAAGTTTGCAGCCAACTATTTACAGTTGCGGAAGATGGATTTCAGCCACAACAAAAAAAGGCATATTCCTTCACTTTAAGGGCTATTTTGCTTCGTTGGTTGGGATCGGATGGGATCCCACATCCATCCCCAATAAACACTGTTGGGATATATGAAATTGTGTCTTTATCTCATATTAGGTTTCACATATTCGTAGCTACGGATAGCATCCGAGTGAATCATTCTGCCGTTAGGTACGTTGGATTGACTGGTAAATGGCGGTGAATGACATTTTTAGCCCTCAAAAATTCTATTTATTGAATTCATCCTCCTCATATACACGGTCTTCTCTGCTCCAAAAATTAGAAAAAATAGGGATTCTCTTCTTCCTCCATCTTGTACTGCTCTGTTCTAAATTTTTTTTTGAAATTCAATAAAAAAGTTTGAAGGCCACATGAGCAGCAACAGCAGTTCGTCGACATGTCGGCAACGGACAGGGCGCCATTTTTTCTGTGATGAGTTGAACGGCCATACTCACCCATTCGTATGCAGTTGTGGGTTGGAAGTTGTTGTCCAAACTTCGTGGACTACGGCAAATACAAAAAATAATTTACTTTAAACAAAGGCTAATAACAGTTAGTTTCAAAATAATACAGTGAAATAGTGCAAATAATAATTGTCAAACATAAAGGTTTTAAAAGTTGAAATTAGTACATGCAAGTCCTACTGATTATAGCCGCTTAGGTAACTTGTTTGTTTGGGAAAAAAGTTGGTCACATCACACCCTAGTAGCGACCTTCGAGTATCATTTGGACCATAACCGCACGCTCATTCTCGTCCAAGCCAAAAAAGATATCCAGCTCATTTGCACTGCCACAAACGACTTTGGCGACCTTTATCTTATCCTCGACACTCAAAAACAATGGTGTAAGCGCATCCAACACCTTCCTACGAGTACTAGAAGCATCATGATCGAAACCTATGCGTTGCGCCAATTCTCCTAGGGATGTCTTTGTTTCAGCAAAAATTTTGGCCATATCCGCCATCATGTCCACCATGCGAGCCTCAAGGTCGTCGCTTCGTGGCCTCTTATTCATTTTTTTCTTACCCCTACGTTGAGTAGATGTCGAGGTGCCTTCCCCATTCAGTGTAGACATGTATGCTTCACCGTGCATCGATGACATGTTCTCCGACTCATTGTCGTTCGGGGATCCGGTAACAAATGGGATGTTTTCACCTCCCATCGATGCATCACTTGCGGGCTTGTCTTGTTTTGTCAAGTCGTTAACCGCATCGAAGAGTGCTTCGGCACTCTCACCGGTTGCCCGATCTTTTCCAAATATAATAGTCCAATCACTATAGTACGGCCATGACTTGAAACGCATCAAGCGAGCATTTGGATCGGACTATTAAAAAAAATAAAAGCGATTTAGTTGAATGTAAGTAAGCATGCAAGTAGTTGTACATTAACTTAATTTGATATTAAAGTGTTACCTTCACGTAATCGTTCCAAACTTGGTCATCAATGACGTCGATGGTATTTGCCGCGTGATTCCAACAAAACCCCGAACGGGTTAGCATAGTGGACAACGATCCATATTGCTTTTTCCACACGTGAATCTTCGACACAATCATTGGATCCGCCTTTAGGTCGGTTCCGGGGAACTTCTGCACCATGTGTTGTTCTAAGACACCTAAATAACCTGTCTTGAAGCCATTGTCACACTTCCACCCACGTGTAACAATGTCCTTCAAAGCCGTAATTAGATGTTGTTCTTCGATCATTGACCAACTTCGTCTCGTTATATTTGTACGGGACTTAGCTCTGCCCAAAGTCTTTTGTGACTGAGAAGTTGTCATTTTCTTTCCTGTATATATTACATTAAAATGTGTTTCTTATACAGTAGTTGATATAATGGGTTAAATATAAATTGCTAAGGCCATAAAAAATAATTAAGTTTAATATACCAGAAAAGTTAAGTTGCTAAGGCCATTAAACATAATTAAGTTTAATACAGTAGTGGATAAATATTGTTGGTCTCAAGCATAATAGTAATTGCAAATAAAATACACACCAAAATAAACTAAAAAACACACACAAAATATGATTCAATCAATTATGCAGCCCTCCTAGCTAGCCAATCATTGTACATGTTTGTCGCAAGAATGTCACGCCACGAAGTCCATACTTCCGAAGGCTCAACATTCTCTATGAAGGCGTAATTAGTGTCCGGATCTGGGTGGATGATTTCGGCTGGAACTAATGCTTCTTCGGGGTCGAAATCGCTTGTGGTTCGAATAAAGTTGTGCAATAGACAACACGCCATAACAATTCGGTTTTGCGTTTTGATCGGATAATACGACGGGCTCCTTAAGATTCCCCACCTCGACTTCAAGATAACAACAAAGAATAATTAAGTGAACAACAGAAACATAGCATAAATATTACCACAAAATATTACCACCGCACAGAGTGGGAATATTGTATATTCTATTTACACTCAACACACACTATATGTTTATACACATATAAATTGGAATACCACACAAATATGGAAAATACACAATTTGATTCACTAGCACCCACAGCATACAAAGTACCCATTTCCATGTTGAATAAAAAATAATATTAAAAAAATTAGCTACTGTTTCAAAATTTCAAATTTAATGTGAGAGGTTACCAAAGCTTTTTGCAGTTTCAATGACACCGAATACCCACAATTAGAACCTCTTATTAATTGATTGTGAAAAAATTAGCCACACAAAAGACAGTAAACGTGTATAGGTCGCCGTGGAGATTAAGAAACATGGAAATACAATCGTACAATGGGTAAATTATAATTACTCTCTTCACAAGTACAAGTCACCGTGGAGATTAAGAAACTAACCTCAGGAGGTGATAGGTCGCCGGAGTACGTCCGTCGCCGTAGAGTCAGGGTCGCCGCCTGCTAGAAGCCGCTCAAGCCCGCGAGATCCACCGGTTCAGATCGCCAAAAAGAAACTGCGATTCATAACTTCAGCAAATATAAATTTGTTACAAAGAACATAAACAGATGAGAACCAAATATTGTACTAAATAACCAGAAAAAAATCAAAGAATTGAAAGAGGGAAGAAACCAAATGCGCTGCTAAGTAATTGCCTAGGGCTCCCGTAAGAAGTGATTTGGGGGAAATTTTGAAATATATAGTCGGCTAATTTGTAATAAGAAAGGAATTTTGAGGGCATAAAGGTAAAATAACATTTCACTTTATTGGGCTAGCGGACCGGATTGTACAATCGGACGTGTTTGGGTCGGATCTGTAATCCGTTAAGGGCTATTTTGCTTCGTTGGTTGGGATCGGATGGGATCCCACATCCATCCCCAATAAACACTGTTGGGATATATGAAATTGTGTCTTTATCTCATATTAGGTTTCACATATTCGTAGCTACGGATAGCATCCGAGTGAATCATTCTGCCGTTAGGTACGTTGGATTGACTGGTAAATGGCGGTGAATGACATTTTTAGCCCTCAAAAATTCTATTTATTGAATTCATCCTCCTCATATACACGGTCTTCTCTGCTCCAAAAATTAGAAAAAATAGGGATTCTCTTCTTCCTCCATCTTGTACTGCTCTGTTCTAAATTTTTTTTTGAAATTCAATAAAAAAGTTTGAAGGCCACATGAGCAGCAACAGCAGTTCGTCGACATGTCGGCAACGGACAGGGCGCTATTTTTTCTGTGATGAGTTGAACGGCCATACTCACCCATTCGTATGCAGTTGTGGGTTGGAAGTTGTTGTCCAAACTTCGTGGACTACGGCAAATACAAAAAATAATTTACTTTAAACAAAGGCCAATAACAGTTAGTTTCAAAATAATACAGTGAAATAGTGGAAATAATACTTGTCAAACATAAAGGTTTTAAAAGTTGAAATTAGTACATGCAAGTCCTACTGATTATAGCCGCTTAGGTTAATTGTTCGAACACATCACCTTTTCTTGATGTTTCCAAAATTTTCCATACTTTGTCTTCCAATAATGTAGAGAATATTGTCTTCTTTCAAAATCTGCAATATTCCCACGCCATTGCCCAAATTTTCAACAGATGGATGATTAACAACATTGAAAAGTTGCATTCAAAACAACTACATACTTCCACTAT